TTGTATAGGTCCTCTGGACGGGTTCTTCTTTAATGAATTCATTAAAGAAGAACCCGTCCAGAGGACCTATACAATTTTTTTCCTTTTGATTTTTTTTCCTTTTGATTTTTTACCTGGATTACTGAGATGCATCAGGACATTTTCTAATATGTTTGGCTGAATACATTTTTTCATGCTTGAGGAAAAAAAATCTCGTGACGATTGTATGCAAGTGTGGAAGTCAGACATGAAGCACAACACTGTGCTCTGCAACCAAACATTCATCATGGAAGTACCCACAAGTGGGTCCTGCTAACCTTAAAAACCAACAAGATGAGATTTAATGTTTAATGTCTTAGCATGGTAACACTGCCGAAACATGGTCGCCTCCACTGTGTTATCATCTTCCATCACTGACAAAGTTCCCACCCCCTCTTTATATACATTAAATGAAAGGTACGGTGATTGGCTACACAGCTGTAGCGTCAGAACKAAGCTTGGAGCTGGTTGGCCAATTTTACAGTCAATCAAAGCTAGAAAGACGGAAACCAGAAGTTGGTCACTACTGAGATATAATTGGCCCTAGACAGCCAAAACTTGAACCCAGTTGGTCAAATGAGGTGTCAATCGAAAGAGGAGGGCTTAGACATCAAGTATGATGCATTGCACACAGACACAGGAAGAACAGGAAACTGATATTATACTTCAAAATAAAACAAATACAAAATGGCATGTGGGCGTTCCGCTGAATGTTAACAGGTTGTGATCTCATCTGTTAACTRCTAGAAACTCCAGCCCCCAACAACAAGATCACATGGCAACAAAAAAAGTGAGGGGGCACATTTAGTACTGCAATATGACAAAAAATTAACCATATAAAATAATATCTCTCTAACATATTTTGTGAAGGTTCATGCTTGCTGAAGAGATGTAGAAAAGGAGGTTTTGCTTACATGTCCCTGATCGTCCAGCTCATTGTTGGTGAGTTTGAGCTTGTCAAAGCTGACCACCTGCCTCATCCAGGTGTCTCCTGAAGCCAGAGAGTCTGGGTGGATGTAAACCCTCGGAGGTACCGGAGAGTCGGCATTTCCTGCCACCATCCACTTGGAGCTGTGATACACATACCTGCAAGAAGAGACAGGTAAAAACACTGGTGGTTACACACTATTTCTTTTACGCCCATGTTTGTCTCAGGATGATAAATACAAATAGATATTTTTAAGTTGTTCTGGAGCCAAAACAACTGTTGAACACAGCCGTTTTATTTATTATTTATTGATACGGTTTTTCTATTGAAAAACTGCGTCTACCACATTTTACACATTTAATACAAATTTCAGAAAACACTGAAACACAGGCGGTAAAGTTTTTTCTTGTGTTTGGATATGCATTAGTGCCTCTGGCATTGACAGCTTACACATCTAGAAAGGCACCATAAATGCAAAAAAATATATCTATATATCTATCTAGCTATCTATATATATTTTTAATGTATATACGTAAAGTTGTAAAACGTATAATGTATATACATAATGTGTTACACATGGAGTTTTTTATTTATTTATTTATTTGACCTTTATTTATCCAGGTAAACTGTTTGAGAACCACTTCTCCTTTACAAACATGACCCGGCATACACCGAGTGCACTGCAATATACTTATTCAGCCATAGTAAAGTGATTGTAAATTTTAATCGTGATAAAAAATTTTAATCTATACCCAGCACTAAAATTAATCAATATGAGTTAACTCGATTAATTTCACAGCCCCAGTTTAATACTAATCATGTTTATGTTTCATAAAGAGGTCTAATGTTCCTCCATCTTCTTACTGTTTTTAAAACTCATTTAATGTCACTTTTTTCCATTTTATTTATTTATTTGAATGGAACAATGTATATTAATAAATGATGACAGTATTCAGTGTGAGATTAAATCATACAAATGTCAACTTTGCTAACTTTCTCCTCTCACCCATCACTACCACAGGCTCCAGAGGACATCCCAGAACAGAGCTCGTCCTCTGCACCAGTTTGTCAAACCTGTTCCTGTCCCTTTCAGCCCCCCCTCCCAGCAGACCACTCCATAGAAATAGGTTGATTCTTCCACTGAGTCATAAAAGGTCTTTAACAGAGTCCTGCAGACGCTGAAGAACCTCAGTTTCTTCAACAAGTGGAGTCTAACCTGGCCCTTCTTATACAGGACGTCTGTGTTTGTAGTCCAGTCCTTTCCCTGGATGTTCACCGGTGCTGTAGGGGGTGGCTTCCTCCTGAGGTCTGTGACCATCTCTTTCATCTTGCTGATTGATTTGGAGAGCGTTGGTCTCACACCAGCCAACAAAGTCACTGATGACCCCCCTGTATTCCTCATCATTCCAGTCTGATACGCATCCAATGATGGCCGTATCATCCGAGAACTTCTGAAGGTGGCAGTGGTCCGAGTTGTACCTGAAGTCTGACGTGTACAGACTGAACAGAAAGGGTGAGAGGACCGTGCCCTGTGGTGCCCCCGTGCTGCAGACTACCACATCAGACACCGTCGCGGAGCCTCACACACTGTGGTCTGTTGGTGAGGTAGTTGATGGTCCATGCTGTCAGCTGCCTGTCCACTCCAGCTCCCTCCAGCTTCCCTCTCAGCAGAGCAGGCTGGATGGTGTTGAAAGCACTGGAGAAGTCGAAGAACATGACTCTCACAGTGTTTCCTGTTTGCTCTRGGTGAGAGAGACCGGTGCTGCAGGTAGATGACAGCATCTTCCACCCTAAAGCCAGGCTGACAGGTGAACTGCAGGGCGTCCAGCCCTGGGCTCACCAGGACTGAAGGGGCTGCATATTTAAGGCGGCTCCATGGTCTTTATCAGATAAGTCAGAGCCACAGCTCTGTAGTGGTTGGGGTCCCTGGGGTGTGAGATCTTTGGCACTGGAACCACACAGGAAGTCTCTTCCACAGGTCAGAAACCCTCTCCAGACTCAGGCTCAGGTCGAAGTTATGCAGGACCACCTGACAGAGCTGGTCTGCACAGTCCCCGAGAGGTCTGGGTCTGATTCCATCCGGACCTGCTGCCTTCCTGACCTTTGTTTTTTTTAGCTGACTTCTCACCTGATCAGCTGTGTCTCCTGATCATTCTTGGGTTTTGTGATCTGCAGAGATCTTTAGTACCTCTGTTATATTTTATAGCTAAAAAATCATCTGGTTTTCATTTATCAGGTAAATGAGTGGTGAGTAAAGAGTGAAGTGAAGATCTTTGTTATTTCAGATAAACTATTTATGAAAACATCATTGAAATTTTTCAGATCTTTAATCTGAACATTATTCCCAGTTAATTCAAGGAATTTGTTGTCCTGTTTTTGTGTTGTTTATGATTTTTTATTTTATTTTAAAACCTGGTTAGCTTCAAACATGTGTCTACAGTAAGTGATGTCTTTGTGCTGGAGAATAAACTCTAAACACAAGTGTCAAATAAAATAATCCATATGTAATCTCACGCTCGGCTGCTTAGTTTCAATTAAGCTTTGCCAAAATGTAATGTGCGTGAGTTTAGATTCACACTCATAACAGCAGGAAGAACAAAAATTAGGACTGAGGAAGAGGAAAATTAACTTTAAATGTTTATTTTTCTACAACTGGCAAACTAAAAAATTTTTTTGCATAACCAAAAAACAAAACTGGCAGGGTGAGAAAAAATATCTAACAATACAAAAAAGGAACAAAATAGGAGAAAAATAAATGAAAATAGGCATGACAAAGAAAACAAAGATCGGAGTTCATGAAGCGAGAAAATTAAAGGAAAAACTGGGTGAGATAAAAACAGTGGACAGGAATTAAAAAGAAAAGGGACGAGGAGATGAAGAATGAGAGTGAGGTTAGAAATGAGTAGAGGAGAGAAACGCTGCGAAGCACAGCTGTTTTCTTTTAGTTCAGGCTCAGTTGAAAATGTTTTATCTGCAGCGTCTCTGCCAAAGTCATCAGTCACTCCTGAAACATGGACAGAACTCTCATTGTGTCCTTTTGTGTTTGTCTTCAACAGGTCACACCACACCGTTTTACAAACATATATTCAGAAAAGAGGGGACAGAAATATCTGTCTCTTTTCTGCCACCAAAATCATAAAAACCAGTAAACAGTGTTGTATAAAGTACCTCAAAGTGATACTTGAGTAAAAGTACAAGTACCTTATCATAAAAATACTTTGGTAAAAGTTAAAGTCTTCTCTAAAAATATTACTTGACTAAAAGTCTTAAAAGTATCTGATATTTTTTGTACTTAAGTATCAAAAGTACCTACAGAAAAGTACATTTCTGACACAAAATCTCCTTAAG